TTTTCAATTTTGATCACTCTAGACCTGGATGAAGAAAAGACCTCAGTCGGATGCGGACAAACTATTCGATATGGCCAATCAGGTCTTTCCGAAACTGATCAAATTTGTGTTGCAGGAGTTGCCTGTGGATATGCGTTTTCTTGAGGCCTTCTACGTGACTCAGTTCGGTCGAGTGTTTGATGCCGTTGCGCCTTCTCTCGATACACTGCCGCCTGCAGGCCTTGAGAGGCTATTTGTATTCTCTCTCACCTGGTCGTTCGGCGCGCTTTTGGATCTCGATGGACGTGAACGTCTTGATCACTTCCTCCGAAAGTCCGGCTTTAAAATAAACCTACCTCCCGATCGTATTCTTGATGCAAAGAAGACCATATTTGATTTTAGACCCGACAAAACTCTAGGTGAGGAAGACACCCTGCATATGCAGGCTACCATACCCTTAAAAACACGACCTATATGTGGCGAGTTAGGTTACTAGCAGCCGTAGTTTAGGTAGTAATGGTAGTGGTATCAGTAGTAGTAGTAGTAAAAACAATAACATTATTATCATTAGTCATAGTGGGAGCAGGAGTAATAGTAGCAGTAGTAATATTAGTGGTAGACGTAATAGTATTCTTAACAGTGGTACAATAGTAGTTGTATCAGCACTCATTAGGGTAATAGTATTCTTAGTATGTTTATAAATAAACATATTGTCCCAGTGATTTAGTCTTCTTCTTCTTCTCAATTGCTTCCTGGGACATGGATGTTCGCTTGTATTAAGTAGTAGTACAAATATAAGTAATATTAGTAGTGGCAATAGTATTCTTATTATTAGTAGTAGTAGTAGTATTAGCAGGAATAGTATTATTTGTGGCAGACGTAATAGTAGTGGGCCAGGCCCTCTGAGTTTTCGTCTTTAGTGACTCCTCTGCTCTGTCCGTTTTTTACATTATCCAACGCAGTTCGTCAACTGCAAATTGACTTTGTCCACTTAGCAGCATATGTTCACTGGTACTGCCCTCAAATTGCAGTCACAAGCAGTGCCACTTTATGTCGCAGCAGAAATGCGTTTCTCACTCAATATCCAACAACCTCCTATTCTACCGATTAACCTGCATGATCTGATTACGCTTTTAGGCCTCTGGGAGTTCTGGGGTGATGCGGTCCCGGCTTACGACTATCCGAAAAGCGGTGAAGTGGAGTTTGAAAAGGTGCTCGTCCCCAATCAGGAAAATGTGGTAACCGAGTACCTGGTGGGTAGCCTGGCAAAACTCGGAAGGTCAATACTCCTATTTGGCGAGCCAGGGACAGCGAAAACTGCAATAATTAACAAACACCTTTCCGGCTTCCATCCGGAGACCCAGATAGCTCGCATCTATAACTTTTCTTCTGTAACGACGCCAGCTTCTTTCCAGGTAAGTCATGTGTCTTTTTTCCACTAATGGGGTTTTGCCAATTTTAGTGTTAAGTAGTCTAGTCTTTGGTGAACGTTTGTTATAACGACCAGTTCTGCGTCACTAGTATTGTAACGGTGGCATCTGACGTGTGTCACCGTCGAATTACGCCCAAGGAAGAACACAATAAGAAAGGCATAATTCTGGAATCCACCCGGAGGAGGAGGGTTTATTGTGAACAAAACCCGGAGTTGCTGTCTCGGGTGGCATTTGTCGCTTGTTGATCTCCAGCGTGCTGATGTCCTGCCTCGGTTCTGACCCCGGCCATCGGGAACGGACTGGGAGTGTCCTCGCAGTCTGGTGTGCAACTCCACTGTCTGAGAGGTGACAGTGCCTTATAACTGATGGTCATGCGCGTTCGCCTGTAGCCTGATTGGACGCATTGG